GCTACGGCTACTACCACTACTACTACTACTACTACTACTACTACTACTACTACTACTACTACTACTACTACGACTACTACTACTACTACACCGACTACTACTACTACTACTGCGACTGCGACTACGACTCCGACTACGACTACTACGACTACTACGACTACTACGACTGCGACTGCGACTACGACTACGACTACGACTACGACTACGACTACGACTACGACTACGACTACGACTACGACTACTACTACGACTACGACTACTACGACTACTACTACTACTACTACTACTACTACTACTACTACTACTACTACTACTACTACTACTACTACTACTACCACTACTACCACTACTACCACTACTACCACTACTACCACTACCACTACTACCACTACGCGCCAGCACCCAGTTGCGCCAGCATTATTTCTTATGTTGTGGGACGGCGGAACGTGTCCGTTGTTCCTTTCAACATGGCCACTCTTGTCGTCGACGATGCGAAATGGGTGGCGGGAGTGCGACGCGGCGCACATCCCGCGCGGAAGTCAATGCGGTGTCCTGGGGTATCCTCCACTCGCACTGAAATGCCCGCGCAGCCCCCACTTGTGCCATCACTGTTTCTAATGTTGTGGGAGGGCGGGTGGGAATGGGCATGCCATGCTTGACTCGCTCGAGCTGGCTAGCTTGACCCACACCCACACCCACGCCCACACCCACACACAAACACACACACACACACAAACAAACACACACATACAAATACACACGCATCCCAGGATTCCCCATATTTTCTAAATCGTCTTCCCCCCCACTCCCCATCCTTTCCCGCATCTTCGTCGGAGTCAACGATGAATTGTGTCTGTTTGTTTTCCCCCTTTTGAACTTAATGCAGCACCTCTGCGGGGTAATGTTGTTTTCCAACACTGCACCCTGGATGGCCGCAAGAGGCCCCGAAGTGGCTCCGAGACCGGCCCGAGAGGTTGCAAGGAACCTCGACGACATCCAGAACAACTCGTGCGACGAGCCAAGCTGCTCGAGGGAGCTTCCCTCCGAGGCCCCGGAGAGGGCCAAAACCATTAAACAGCACAGTTGCATGCTCCAGTCGACCTACATGAGCGCCCGAAGTGGCTGGCCCCCACATGGGCCCGCAGGGGGGCCCGAGAAATCACCGAGCGGGCCCCGCCAAACCCTAAGTCGAACTCAGATTCTGATCCCCGCGCGCAGGCCCCCCCCCCCCTCGAGGCCCTGAAGAGTCTCCGAGATAGCCTCGAGGAGACTCCCCAGAGGCTCTCGAAATGCCACCAATAGCACCCCAAGGGGCGCAACGCTTGATTTTTGGTCGAGCGCAAGCGGCCGCGCGGCGCGGTCGAAACCGACGCTGGGTCGCTGCGAAGCAAATTGTACAGAACTGGGTGGGCGGTGGCGTTCGCATTCTCGCTTCCGCTGGCTCCGATGCGTTTTTCAAGCCGCAACGCGGTCCCAATATGGCCCAAGCAGTTCGAAGGGGGCTGGAAGGCCCAGCCAGCTGCTTCGCCTCAGGCGAAGCCAAGCTCCAGCTCTGTTGTACCGTAGTAACGATAGTCCCAGTATGAGAGGAGATGCCATCTCAAGCAATAGGAAGATCCTGATGGTCTCGATCACGATTGTGTGCCTCGCAGTGAGGCGCAGTCATATTTGGGCGGCCGGCCGCTTGAGCCGACGCGGCCGCGGGCGCATGCTCGCTTCCACTCCTCGCGTTCCTCAGCTCGCTTTAGAGTCGGGGGGGGAGGGAGACGAAACGTGAGCCCGTCGCCCCTGCACAGCAGGCATAGCAGCTAACATGCACAAGGACAAAAGAAGGAAGCGGGCCTAAAGGAAGGTGGACCCGCTAGCAAGTTGCCTCGCATGTATGTGACGGGTCCCCAAGACTGCCCAAGAGGCCCCCGAGACGCCAAGAGGCCTCCAAGTGGCCTCCAAGAGGCCTCACAAGAGGGCCGAGAGGCCAAAATCATCAGTTTTACGATAATATTGGGAGGACTCTGGCCTTGTCGCCTTTTCGGCCATCCGATGCTCCAAGACGGCCCAAGAGGCCCCCAAGAGCGCCCCAAGACGGGCCAAGAGGCTTCCAAAAGGGCCCCAAGAGGCCCCAAGAGGGCCCCGAGACGACCCAAGAGGCGCCCAAGACGGCCCAAGACGGCCCCAAGACGGCCCCAAGAGGGGCCCAAGAGGGGGACCACGAACCGAAAACTCGAGCCTTCCGCCCCAAGAGGGCCCCAGGAGGCCCCGAGAGGCCCCCAAGAGGCCCCAAGATGCCGCCAAGAAGCCCTCAAGAGGCCCCAGGAGGCCTCCAGGAGGCCCAAAAGAGGCCCCAAGAGGCCCCAGGAGTTCAAAAATGCCTCCCAGGCGCCCCCGAACGGCTTCTCAACCTCCGCCCCTTCCCCTTCCTCCTCCTCCTCCTCCTCCTCCTCCTCCTGCCTCCTCCTCCTCCTCCTCCCTCCTCCTCCTCCTCCTCCTCCTCCTCCTCCTCCTCCTCCTGCTCCTCCTACTGATCTTCATCCTCCTCCTCTCCTTCTCATCCACTCCTCCTCCTCCTCCCCATCCTCATCTTCCTCCTCCTCCTCGGCGGCGCTACAATGGCCCCGGGCCCACGGCGAAGCAGTTGCGATCATGCAACATGGGCCGGCGGAATGAGCGAAGCGATTGAATAAGATGGGCGACGCCATGCAAACGCCAACCGTAGGTGGAACTTCCTAGTGAGGAGTCTGCCGAAATGGGCTGGCGACGCCCTGCGAACGCTCTCACTGGGGCCGCCAGGGGAGCTCCCTTTCTGGGCCCGATCCGCGTGAGCGCTGTGCCAACATGGGCGTGGCCCAGGGGCCGACGGTGGAGCTCCCTGTGTGAAGGGGCCCTGGGACACACAAACAAATACACACAAATAACAGGATTCCCCCATAGTTTCCCAGATTTTCTGTGGTTTTGCCTTCCCCCCCACTTCCCATAGTTTCCCACATTTTGCGGGGGGTCGACGATTTTGTGTCTGTGTGTGTGTTTTTCCCTCCTGACTGTGGGACACGATTAGGGGAACAAAAAGTGACAAAGCATAAAAATTCGGAGGTCCGCGCGGACCTCCGAGTTGCTATGTTTATGTGACTTTTTGTTCCCCTACCAGCGCCCCTCGAAAGTGGCGACCGTTTCGCAGATCGCAGCCCCCTGGGGATGGCGAGGCTTGATCTTGATCCGCGGGATTTTCGACGAAAAATAAAACATACCCCGAAAATACTCCCAAAATGGATCAAAAAATAGTCTGGGGGCTATGTTTTGAATACTTTCTGACCTTATTGGGGTATTTTTTGGGGTATTTGTTTTTCTTCGTTGAAAATCCCCCTGTAGGGGGACAGGTCCGACTTAACCCACTTTTTGTTCCCCTAGCGTTATGTCGGGCGTGTCCCCCTACAGGAGGATTTTCGACGAAAAATGAAAAATACCCCCAAAATGCTCCAAAAAGGTAGAAAATAAATACTCGAAACATAGTCCCCAGACTATCTTGGGACTATTGTTTGACTATTTTTGGGGTGTTTTGTATTTTTCGTAGAAAATCCCCCTGTAGGGGGACAGGCCCGACAGAACCCTGGCGATCCCCATGTAAAAAATACTCGAAACATAGTTTCCAGACTATTTGGGGACTATTGTTTGACTATTTTTTGGGTGTTTTGTATTCTTCGTCGAAAATCCCCCTGTATGGGGGGCAGGCCCGACAGAACCCCAGCGACCCGCGCGGCGGGCGGGCCGAGGCGGGCGGGGCGGCGCCGCGCGAGCGCTCTCCTGGGCGGAGAGCTCTCGCCCGTGGGGGCTCCCCCGGGCTCCGCGGGCGGCCCGGGCCGGGCCCAAAGAGGGGGCCCACGGAGGCCAGGGAGTTAGGAGGCAACTACCGGGCGTTGCCAGAACTGGAATTATTGGTGGTCTCCAAACCAGGTGGTGAGACACCCGGTGGTGACCCCCGATTCCCCAAAAGAATGATTCTAGGTCACCACCGGGTTTGGGGACACGCGGTCGCCACGAGGTGTTGCGTTTCCTGGGCCAGCCAGCGCTCGAAAACCATTACCCAAATCGCCCAAAACTCACCACCGGGTGTTCTCACCACCACGTTTGAGGACCACCAAATTTAGTGGAACCTTGTTTTAGTGATTTGTACCGGGGGCGCCCCCTGTCCCATGTCCACTAACCGGAACTGCCGTCACCCGAAAAACACCAGTTGCGGCAAACCTGGTTTAGGGAATCTGGCCAGTTGAGGGGCCCCAAGGCCCTACCACTAACCGGGTCCCCCTACCCGGGGTCCTGGCTATACCCGAAACTACTGGGAGGCATTCGTCGGAAAGATCAAGGAGGGTTGAGCCCCCATTGGGTGGCTGTTGCGCCGGGATGGGCCTCAGATGAAGCGGGATTCGGCTGGAGTGAGCGGGATCGAGCGGGATGAAGCAGGATCAAGCGTGATGGAGCCGGATTCAGCTGGATTTCGGACCAAGGCAAAATCAGAATTTGACCTCCCAAGAGTTGCATCCGAAACGGAGGGACCCAAGAATTAGGTCGGGCGTGTCCCCCAACAGGGGGATGTTGGACGAAAAATAAAAGATACTCAATACATACACCAAAAATGCTCAACAATACTCAAAAAATAGTCCCCAGACTATTTGTGGACTATGTTTGATTGTTCCCCCTGTAAAGGGACAGGCCCAACTTGACCCAAGGATGCCCCACAAGCCCCCCCAAAAGCCCGAAGAGTGCTCCAAGATTGCCCAAAGAGGGTTCCGTGATGGCCCAAAGAACTCCCATGAATTGCTCCGTGGGCTCTGGACGAAACGGAACGCAAAGTAGGCAAATACTCTACACAGCATCGGTATGGCCTGACAGCGGGATGGGCGTCTCTCATACAGCCCACCTGGCCGTCCCCCGCAGACAACCAAATGTAAATGTATGCAACGTTACGGGATGGGCTGGCTAGCGGAATGGACAGAGCATTTGAATAATACTAGTCAGGGTAGTCGACAAGGTGGTGCGAGTCGTACTAGCCATGCTCGAATGATTGCCGTCTACTCTGCTGCTTCGGGCGATCGTCTCCGTGGTGCTGATCAATGTCGTGCTGCTATTGTCAGACAAGCTGTTTATTGCTGTAGTTCCGGTCGTACTCGTGTTACTCAGAGAGAAGATGCCCGCCCCACTGGCACTGTTGATCCCCATGCTTGTTTCAGTGTTGCTGCTTAGAACTGTCGTGAAAGATCCGGTTGAACTCGTCATCGTGGTAGTACGGCTATGGTTTGCACGGCTGGTGGTCACCGAGGTCACACTGATTGTCTCAATGATGCCTCTGCTGTCGGGCGGCATGGGTCCACTGTCGGCTGCTGAGACTGCGGTGATGCTCGAATTGATTGTGGTCGGCTCTGAGGCGCTAACCAAATCACTACTGCTCTTGAAAACCGCACTTCTCAGCGCGTCTGCAATTGTGTCTGCCCGTAATATGCCGGTAGCGTCGCTTCGACCCAGCGCCGTCGTGATCGCAGTCTCGCCGATGGGAAGCAAGATCCCCTCTGCCTCCTCGGGGAGCTGACATGGCGGGTGCGGTACGGCGAAAGCGTTGCTTACTCAATTCATACCCCCAGGGCAGCAAATAACGAAACACCTACCAGATACTAGCTGCCACTCTTAGGAGGGCGCCAGTTACGCACCCACACACCTAACCTGGCCAGGCCCAGGAGGGCGTTTACACCAGTCCTGGACCAACGATGGGCCTGGCCAGGATCGGTGCAGGAGTATGTAGTTAGGAGTGTGTGTTGACGCCATCCGTGAGTCTACTGACGGTCCAGACTCCTCGGCCGCGAACCCATAGATACACTGCAGGGCGGCTTTGCCCCGCGTGGAACCCATCCATGGGATCGCGGTATCCATGGGATCACGCTTCGGCATCAACACCGCGACGGGCATGGACATCGACACGTTCGCCACGCGTGACAGCGGCATCTTCGCGACATCGCGAGGCCGCCCTGGAGACGGGCAGCTGTCGAGCCCACACCGCGACGCGCGAAGCGCATGTCCTTCGCGCCTCGCGGCGCGGGTGACCTGACCCAGAACTCATGAAAAGAACACCTGACGGGTGCCAGGAAGGCGTGTGCATCGATCCTTGGGCCAGGATCCGTCGGGCCAGAACCCGAGTAGGTGAATAATCGGGGCACTCCTTGGTAGCTTCCCCTCCCTTGCCATCGCTCGGACGTCCATCACCCGCGCACTCTTCGGCCTCCTGCGCTTCTTTGTCGCGAGGGGTTCCTCGATGCTCCTCGATGGTCCTCGCCGAGAAAAACTGCACAAATCCCAGCGATGCCAAAAGCTTCTGTTATAGGTACTGCGCCCGCCGGGGCCTGGTAGAGTCTGGACTCCTCGGGCCGCGACCCCGCGTGCAGAAGCAAAGCGTGCGGCGCTGCGCAGATGCCCCGCGCGGAAAACGCACGCCTTGGACCGCGCATCCCGGAGGACCGCGCCTCGGCGAGCCTCCACACCGCCACGGGCGTGGCTGCCGCTCTGGGATCACGCCGCACCCGAAGAGGAAACCAGGACGAGGATAGATGCGGGTGAGGACACTTTGAGAACCTCTGCGATCTGGCGGCTCTGGAGGGTGTGTCGGGCGCCGCGGCCTTCCCAGAGCGTTCCGGCGCGCTCGGAGAGCGATCTGGAACGGTCTGGGACGGACTTGTCCTCGTCCCGGCCCCGTCCGAGATGTCGCTCTGGATCACGCCGCATCTCCACGTCGCCGCCGCATCGCCGCCGCATCGCCAATGCCTCGCCGCTGCATCGGGCTCCGGACCACGCCGCATCGCCCATGCGTCGATGATTTTTCGGCGCGGCCCTCCGACCCTGTGCAGGCGGCCTGGGCGAAGCGAAACACCTGCCAGGTCGCGCCCGAGGGGTCTGGATCGCGAGGCCGTGAATGTGGATAATTCTCCTTCGGGCGAGCGATGAGCGCTCGTGAATCCGACCAAGTGATATCAAGCCGGCCCGAACCAGATGACGACAGCAGTGCAACAGCCCTCCTTGCAACCTGCCTGCCGGACGCAGCCAAGCCACGGCAGTTGCCCGCCCTAGCCTCCTCGCGCTCACTGCCTGCACTTTGACGAAGGCAGGATTACGATCAGCTCGGGTGCAATCGGGAATCTCTGATGGCCGGTGTGTCTTGAGGATGCACTGGGCACCAAGGTCGTTTCAGAGCGCCCCAGAACGCTCTGAGAGCGGACCATAACGCTCTTCAGCAAGTCATCTTCGGTCTAGGCCTGCCTGATCTCTGGAGGGAAGGGGGGGAGGGTCAGGTGGTGCTGGAATCGTGCTAGACGCGGTCTTGGGCTGCCCAGATGATCTCAAGTGCCCAAGATGCTTCCAGGACGACGCAACGGCTCCAACGATCTCCAAGAGGTGCCAAGAGAACTATAAAAAGGAAGGTAAGTAATTAGACGAGGGGACCAAGGCAACTCGAGGCCACTCGACTTGTTCACGTGGCTCCCTCGAGGTCGGGACCCCTTCCCGGAGATCAGCTTTTCATCCAAAGTAGTTCCCAACCATCCTGTGGTGATGGGTTCTGGTTTAGAATACGTATCACCGCGCGTCACTCCTTTCCAATTTTCCTCCCTCCCTTCCTTCCTCCTCCGCCCTCCCATAATTGCATATGCCCACCGCATGTCCCGTTTGGCACACCCCTCACACGCTTCGTGGTCCCATGGGGAGCTCCACCCGAGGCCCCAGCTTCTGGGCACGCCTGGTCCCTACAATTTCGGCGCATCCCTCACACGCTTCGTGGCCCCATAGGGAGCTCCACCCGAGGCCGCAAGTGGCTCGGTTCACATGCCTGGTCCGCGCCGCTTCGGCGAACCCCTCCGACGTTTCGTGGCCCAACAGGGAGCTCGGCCTGAGGCCTCAGCGCCCTAATGGCTGCGCCTGGTCCACACCATGTCGGCGCCCCCCTCCTACGTTTCGGGGGCCCAGGAGGAACTCCACCTAAGACTCCAGCGGCTGGGTTTGCATGAGTTCTCCAGACTATTTCGGCGCACCCCTCACACGCTTCGTGGCCCCAGCAGCTTCTCCACACCATTTCGGCCCACCCATCATACGTTTCGCGGCCCCATCGGGAGCTCCACCTGAGGCCCCAGTAGTTGCGACCGCATGCCTTCTCCAATACGTTTGGGCGCGCCCCTCACACGCTTCGTGGCCCCATAGGGAGCTCCACCTCGAAACCCAATGACAAAAAACGCGCGCCGACAGACGCGCAGCTCAACCGTAACGGGTTACATCCAAATGTAACCCGTTACGGCCGACTTCTGCGACCCCATCAGCAACGTCGCTCCATCCTTCCCACACTCGCCGTAGTCCTTTGATTAGCCCCTTCCCTTAGCTTCCACCTGTCTTGCGGTACTCGCAGCTGCATTTAGTTGGGTCCTTCGCAAGGCAAAATCCCGAAGGTCCCTGGGGCATAGCAAGGGCCCCCGGAGGCCGACACATACAAACATGAGGGTCAACGAAAGAAGGGGGGAATGGCATAGGGGGGATGCATCGACCTGGAATCGGCGATACATAGATCGGCGATAGGCCCCCGATAGTGAATCCGCACGTTCCTGGGAAGGCTAAGGCGATCAGGCCCCTGTTGGAGATCAATGGGCGATTGGGGGTCGATGCCTCCCCCATCGTTGCCCCTGATCTCGTGTCCACGACGCAAGGCTGCAGGGTTGCCTGATGCCTTCCCCGTCGAGGGAGGCAAAATGTGCGGATGGCCTCGGGGCGGGCATTACTTACACTCGTTCGCCAGTGGGCTTCTTTGAAGACATGGGCGTTCGAGGGACCTGGATACATGCAGATGAGCGTTTACGTATTCGGCGTTTCGACATGGGGCGGAAGGAGAGGGAGGGGAGGGGGTTCTGGCCCCGGACCTCTGCTTCATGCAACTGTTTGCAGCCGTGCGCCCCATGGGGGGAAGCTCCACCTGCTCGAAGCAGGCGCCAAAAACAGCCAAGACCTACTCCATAGGGGGTTTAACGGGCGAAGAACGGTATAAAATAAACTTTTCCAGCCGCCCAGGGGCAGGTGTCCCCGACGGCGGAAAGTGAGTTTAATACCGTTCTTCGTCGTTAAATAAGGGGTGGGAGGGGGGGGGCGGTGCAAGGACCCGCGCCGATCCGCAAAACACGGAGTACGGAAACAGTCACCTGGGCTCTCTACCCGCCCCTGCCGCTGCCGCCGGCCCGGGCCGAGAGGCAACGATGAAGGGGGGGAGGGGGGGACTGGCTGAGAGGGGGGGGGGGAGCGTTGACCTGGAATCGGCGATCGGCTCAAGGGGGGGGGAGAAGCGTACATTTTCTTTGAGTCGGCGACGCATCGGCGATCGGCTCAAGGGGGGGAGAAGCGTACATTTTGGAATCGGCGATCGGCTCAAGGGGGGGGACTGGCTGAGAGGGCGGGGGGGAGCGTTGACCTAGAATCCGCGATAAGCTCAAGGGTTAAGTCGGGCCTGTCCCCCTACAGGGGGATTTTCGACAAAAAATAGAAAATACCCCACAAATGCTTAAAACATAGTTAAAAATAGTCTTGGGACTATTTTTGGAATATTTTTTGACCTTCTTGGGGTATTTGTGGGTATTTTTTATTTTTCCTCGAAAATCCCCCTGTAGGGGGACACGCCCGACATAACTCAAGGGGGGGAGAAGCGTACATTTTGGAGTCGGCGACGCGTCGCCGACAGCGAGGCCCCACGGCCCAGGGCGGCAGGGGCTATCGAGCCCCCGCCGGCGGTGCATGGGCGCACGGCGGATCCACAGTCGACCTCGCCATCCTTCGGGGGCTGCGATCTGCGAAGCAGTCGCCACTTCTGCGGGCTGCTGGGGGGTCCAGCGGAATCACGCCCCACCGCGGATCAAGATCAAACCTGGCCATCCCCAGGGGGCTGCGATCTGCGAAACGGGCGCCACTTTCGAGGGGCGCTGGTGGGGGAGCAAAAAGTCACATAAACATATAAAACAAAAACTCGGAGGTCCGCGCGGATTGCTCGGATCGGCGCTGGACCCCCCCTCCCCGGCGCGCGGAGCGCGCCAGGGGCGGCGCCGGAGGCGCCGCCAGGGGGCCCAGCGTCGATCCGAGAAATCCGCGCGGACCTCCGAGTTTCTATGTTTATGCCACTTCTTGTTCCCCTAATCAGCGGGGGGGGCCAGGGCGCCCCCCCCGGGACCGTCTTGTTTTGACACATCGGGCTTATGTACTAAGAACACTGTTGTCAGAACAGTTTCGGGCTCTAAGATTATCTCGTGGTATGACTGCAGGAATGCTGGGACGGTCGGTCCCTGCTCAAACTGTCGAGGGGCGCACCCCCCGTCGTGATTCGTGTCACAATGCGAGGGGGTCTTGGGATGTGGGCCGCACCACGAGGCCCCTCCAGCGAGAGGCCCCTCCGAGGTGTCGTAGTCGAAGCGTCCCCCCTCCGGCGAGAGGCCCCTCCGAGGTGTCGTCGTCGAAGTGCCGTCGTCGAAGTGCCCCCTCCGATGTGGGCCCGCACCAGGAGGTCCCTCCGGCGAGAGGGGCCCCTCCGAGGTGTCGTCGTCGAAGTGCCCCCTCCGGCGAGGGGCCCCGCCGCGAGGCGTCGTCGTCGAAGCGTCCTCCCTCCTGCGCGAGAGGCCCCCCTCCGAGGGGCCCTCGGCTACTCTCCGCGGCCGGCCCGCCCGCAGGGCGCCCCCCCCCCCCCCGTTGAGCAGGGACCGACCGTCCCGGCGTCCCCATAGCCCGACGACGAAATCTTCTTAGAGCATACACCCGACGACGAAATCTGCTTAGATCCCCAAAGTGTTCTAATAACAAAGACAACGTTCTTGGAGCATGCACCCGACGACGAAATCTTCTTAGACCCCCAGTGTTCTAATAACAAAGACAACGTTCTTGGAGCATACACCCGACGACGAAATCTGCTTAGATCCCCAAAGTGTTCTAATAACAAAGACAACGTTCTTGGAGCATGCACCCGACGACGAAATCTTCTTAGACCCCCAGTGTTCTAATAACAAAGACAACGTTCTTGGAGCATACACCCGACGACGAAATCTGCTTAGATCCCCAAAGTGTTCTAATAACAAAGACAACGTTCTTGGAGCATGCACCCGACGACGAAATCTTCTTAGACCCCCAGTGTTCTAATAACAAAGACAACGTTCTTGGAGCATACACCCGACGACGAAATCTGCTTAGATCCCCAAAGTGTTCTAATAACAAAGACAATGTTCTTAGAGCATAGACCCGACGGCGAGACGTAATCTTCTTAGAACCCAAAAAGTGTTCTAATAACAACAACAACAATGTTCTTGGAGCATAATGCCCGACGTGTTCAAACAAGACAGTCCCGGCCAGAAGTGTTCTGAGAACATCTCGTGCAGACCACAAAAGGTTCTTAGAACATTCTTTGGTAGGGCTATAGTAAAACGACGCGAAGATCGGGACAAAATCGGATCGGGATAAATCGAAATCTCTGAGAATCGGCGGGTTTGGAGGATGTATTGGGCGCCGCGGTCGCTCCAGAGCGTTCCGGAACGCTCTGAGAGCGCTCTGGAACGCTCTGGAGCGATTTATCCCGATCCTAGCCCTGTTTTATATAGGCGAACCAGAACGCTTCGCCACTGCTTGACCCCCGAGCCTGCAGCCCTCCCGGCCGTGGCCCGCCCTCCCCCCGCGGGGGGCGCGGCGCGCGGCCGAGGCGCGGCGAGAGGCGCGGGGGCCCTGGCCGTCGGCCCCCCCCCCCCGAAAGCGGGCCGGACGGGACGAGCGGCGCTCTCGGGCGGGTGGCAGCAGTACAGGGCAATTTTCAAGACATAGGATGTTTTAACATATAAATTGTTTATCGTCGTCGTCGTCGTCGTCGTCGTCGTCGCTCGCGTCGTCGTCGTCGTCATCGCCGTCGTCGTCGTCGTCGTGGTCGTTGTCGTCGTCGCTCTCGTCGTCGTCGTCGTCGACGTATTCGTTTTCGTCGTCGTTTTCGTCTTCCTCGTCGTCGTTCATTTCCACAGGCACCCGGAGCGCCCCGGATCGGCGGCACTGGCCGGAGGCCACTACAATAAATTGTTTAAAGGATGTTTAAACACATAGGATTAATATATGAAGAGATTTATGCATGAACTCGTCGTTGTTTTTGATACTAGATCCATGCATGTTTGAATACATGATCCGCACGCAGAACATGTATTAAAAACGGCACTGTACAGGCACGTGAAAACCGTCAGGCACGGGTGACAGTGCACCCCATAGGAACCCAAGATTTCCGTGTCCTCGATATGTTGGACCTGGAGCAACGAATTCGCATTCGAAGAACTTGCTGAAGCAGGACCACAGAGGGCGGAGCGGCGTCAGCCTTTGAATCACAACCGGATTCCTCGATCCCACGTCTGCTTTCCCGAGCCAGATCGATCCATGAATGGCCCTGGGCCCGAAGACGGAACGTCATGGCCTGTCGTCCATCTCTCCACGCCGCCGAGATACGAATCACCTTAAATCAATCTTACGATATTGGAATTATGTTGTTCCCATCGTACTCAAGGACCGTATTCCAGAAATCACTTCGGGCACCCCGAAAAGTATCGAAACAGTGCCTGCCCGACACGCTGGCGACGTGCCGAACGAGCATCGCCTCCCAAGGCCCGACACGTGAAAACCGTCAGTTCCGATACTCTCTGGGTGCTCGAAATTCCCTCTGGTGATCAGGGCTAAAGTATATTGGAACATCCATAATATTGGAAAACGCCTTGGGCCATCTTCCGAGGCTGCTGCAATGAGGCCAGAGTAGGTAGCGTCGGAGAACCCACCGTACCGCAGATGCATCGGAGATGCGTGGGCGAAGACTTATGTCGGGCGTGTCCCCCTTACAGGGGGATTTTCGATGACAAAATACAAAATGCCCCAAACATGCCCCAGAATGGTAAAACATGCCCCAAACATAATCTCAAAACTATGTTTGGACTATTTGGGGGGCATTTTTTTGGTCGAAAAATGTCCCTGTAGGGGGACAGGCCCAACATAACAGTAGGGGCGTTGACCTACAGTCGGCCTTGATTGGACAGGACACGCGAGAGGACACAAGACACTTCCGAGGGCCACATTGCCATAGGAGTGTAGGAAGGCACATGTCGCGAGGCCCAGGACACAAGGGTACCCTTGAGCTGGCAGGATCGACCAACTAATCTGGGCCGACTGTAAGGAAGCCTAGATCAGGAACGAGGCCTCTTTTTCCAAAAAGTGAAACTTCGATTTCCCAACGAAGCCCTGCGCAAAACCAGAGGCGAACTGCAACACAACTAAGGAACACCGAGCCCCTTCCCAACGAAAAGGGTTCCTTCCTCAGCGCCCCGACTGTAGGAGAAGGAACAACGCCAGGAACAAAAACTTGTGGCGCTCCGCGCAGATTTCCTCGATCTGCGCGGGGCCCCCCTCCCTGGCGCGCGGAGCGCGCCAGGGGCGGCGCCTGAGGCGCCGCCGGGGGGGGGGGGACCAACGCGGATCCAAGAAATCCGCGCTGAGCGCCACAAGTGTTCTTCTTCGAAATGGGGGGTAAACCAAATTGGGGGTGAGGAAAAAGACCCACAACGGGGGCCCTCCAGGGCCCCTTCTGGGCACCCACTGGCCCTGCGAGGGTCCCTCAAAGGGCCCCCCCTTCAGGGCTCTTCCCTTCATCCCCCACTTGGGCCTTCCACCCACCTGAAGCTCGAGGCCCCTCCCCCCCCCCGTGCCGGCCGAGAGCCCCGCCGGAGAGCTCCTCGCCCGCCGCAGGCCGCGCGGCGCCGCCGAGGCCCCGGGCCCTGCGGCGGGCGCGCGCGCCCCCGCGGGGGGGGGCGGCGGGGAGCCCGCGAGGACGCCGAGGGGGAGGGGGCCAGTTCCTCACGTTAGTCAGCCGAACGTCAAAAAGGAGGAGGAGGAGGAGGAGGAGGAGGAGGAGGAAGAGGAGGAGGCGGAGGAGGCGGAGGAGGAGGAGGAGGAGGAGGCGGAGGCGGAGGCGGAGGAGGAAGAGGAGGGGCGGAGGGCGGCGGCAGGGCCCCGAGGAGGCCGAGGTTGGCGCCGCGCAGAAGGCTGGTGTAGGGGGGGGGGGGCGGCTGCTTTAGGAGCATGCGGAGGCGCGCTGGGGGTCCCGCCCGCTGCACGGGTCGTTCGGCCGTCCGCGCCAGGGCGCCCAACTCCGCAAAAGAAAATGCGCTGGCACACAAACTCTGCCATTTTTTGGTCACCCCTGAACCACACGCGCGTGCACGGGCGGCTCAGGAAAAGGCACTTGCGAGGTGCCTGCGGGCCGCCCAAGAAAGGCACTTTGGGAGGTGCCAGCGGGCAAGGGGCAGGGTCCGCGCAGACTTCTGGAGGCGGCGGTGGACCCCCCCCACTGGCCTCTGGCGCCGCCCCTGGCTCGTGTAAGGGGGGGGGGGGGACGGCTGCTTTAGGAGCATGCGGAGGCGCGCTGGGGGAGGGGCAGGGTCCGCGCAGACTTCTGGAGGCGGCGCTCACAGGGGATGCGAAGTCCCTGCCATCCTGCCATCAGAGGGGGATGCGAAGTCCCTGGAGACGGGACGGGGTGGGCACAGGTTGGCATCCTAGCCGACCCAAAACCAATAGAGGCATCACAGCCTCTGATCATCATACTGTCTAGGTCCAGGTTGATCCACTCACGGATCCAACACTTTATCCTCTACTCAATTCATTCCATGCGTAGCATGCTCTCCCCCCCCACTGGCCTCTGGCGCCGCCCCTGGCTCGCGAAGGGTTACAACATCGGGAATCGGCTGGCGCGGCGGCGGGGTTTGCCGCAAGCCGCCGTCGGAGCTATGTAGCCAGCCCTCAGCCTCAGAGAGGCGGACTTGTGGCGGCGTTGCGACAGTGGGCAGCGGCCCCCTGACAGCGGCGGCTAAGACCGGGCGAAAACGAGGATGCTGGACACGGAGGTCACCTGCGCGGGCGGCGGACCCCTTCCTGGAGGAAGGCTCTGGTGCGCGGGCTGCGGCAGCGCATCGCGCTTCAGTCGTGGCCCCCTGCTGCCGAGGCCTGCGGCGTCCAGCCGAGCGCGGCCGAAGGGTCCCCGACACGGCCGGGCGAGCCTCGCCTCCACTGGCGCGCGGCCTGCCCAGACCGAGGCGCACGAGGAAGGGATTGGGCCGGAAGCCCCGGCGGAAGCGTCCTCCTCCTCCTCCTCCTCCTCCTCCTCCTCCTCCTCCTCCTCCTCCTCCTCCTCCTCCTCCTCCTCCTCCTCCTCCTTCCACAATTACCCAATATGAATACTACTCTCCCTCTTTCCCTGGTGGCGTCCAGGGAGTAGTAGACCCCCCCCGCGTACTGTTTTTTTACACACAGGATTCCCGGGAGTTGGGTTTTCGCCTGCGTTTCTTTTCAAAATGCTGCTCTCGCTGAGGCGCCGGCCTCATTTCTGTTCCCGAATCGTTCCGGATCGTGCTCCCACTGCAGCGTGGGCCTAATTTTCGGATCGGTGTTTTGCCTCCGTCGTTCAGGATGGCGTTCTCGCCCCAACGCGGACCTCTTTCTCGCGCGCCCATCCGCCCGCCACCACCGCGCCGCACCACGCCCCGCCCCGCCGCACGCAAACCCACCGCCACTTCCACCCACCAACGCACGCACGCACGCACGCGCACCACCACCGCGCACCGCCACCACCACCGCACTACCCCACCCACCACCACCACGCTACACCGCGTCACACCACATCACAGGCGCGCACACACACAGACACACACGCACGCACGCACGCACGCACGCACGCACGCACGCACGCACGCACGCACGCACACACACACACACGCACACACACACACACACACGCACACACACACACACACACACACACACACCACCACCGCCACCACCACCACCACCGCCATCACGCACGTACGCACCTGGCCCACCACCAAACCACCAAGACGCCACACCACGTCACACCACAGCACACGCGCACACACGCACACACACATACACACCACCACCACCACAACAACCACAACCACACACACACGCACGCACACACGCGCACCACCACCCACTACGCACACGCGCGCGGAGCCACAGGTCCGCTACGACACGCGTCCGCGGATAGAGAAAATTTGGCGCCATGGTAAGGGATGGGAGGGAGGGGTAGGATGTCAGATGTTGACGCGAGCGCACCTAACTTGCCTCCTCCCCCTCCTCCTGCGCCTCTTCCTCCTCCCTCCGCATTCTCCTCCCCCCTCATCCTCCTCCTCCTCCCTGGACAGCCCAGCGCGGGCGACTGGCGCGCGGCAGTTTACCGCGGGAGGGGGCGCAGCGCGGAGCGCCGCAGAGGAGGTGGCCGAGCGGCGCGCTGCCAGCGGCGGCCCCGGGCGCCTGCCAAAGCAGCGCGCGCGGACGCTGCGTGCGCCACGGCGCACGAGGGCAGCGAGGAGGCCGAGCAGGAGCCGCGCAAAGGGCGCAGCGGACGACGCGGGATCCGCCACGGCCCAGCCCGTCTTGGGCGCGGCCGCTCCTTGGCCACCCCAGGGCCAGCCGCTCGACGCGGAGTTGGACGCGGCTGCCATGGAGGCGACGTTGGAGGTTGGCGCGGCGGTTGCGACGCCACCAGTCTCCGACATGAAGCGCAAGAACAATTCGCCGGCCCAACGGGCCAGGGCGTGCTAAGATCTACGGTAACTGGTTAACAGTATTAACAGTATTTCTAGTTCGCGCGCGCGGGGCGGCCCCTGGGGGTCCCCCGGCGAAAAGTACCCCGACCAACGCCCGGTCGCCGCCCGACCAAGTCTACTCAGAGATGGTTTTCCTTCTGGGTGCGGCCTCTCAGGCTCCCCAGAGCGCGCTCAGAGTGCCCCAAGAGGCCCCCAAGACTGCCCAAGAGGCCCCCGAGACGCCCAAAGAGCGCTCGAAGACGCCGAAGATGACCCCAAGACGGCCCAAAAGGCCCCCAAGACAGCCCAAGAGGCCTCCAAGACGCCCCAAGAGCCTTCCAAGAGGCCTCCGAAGAGAGCCCCAAGAGGCCAAAATCGTTGATTTTCATTGGTTTTTTCGATGTTTTTTGTGTTCTGGCTTTTTCGGCTTCCGGACGCTCCAAGACGGCCCAAGAGGCCCCCAAGACCGCTCCAAGACGGCCCACGAAGCTCCCAAGACGGCGCCGAAACGACCCAAGAGAGCCCTCAAGACGGCCCAAGTGCCGCCCAAGACGGACCAAGAGGCCCCAAGACGGGCCCAAGAGGGACTCAGGAGGGATACCGAGAACTCAAAAATGGAGCCCTCCGTCCCAGAAGGCGCCCAGGAGGTCCCAAAGAGGCCCCAAGAGGCCTCCAAGAGGCCCCAAGATGTCGCCAAGAGGCCCCAGGAGACTCCCAGGAGGCCCAAAAGAAGCCCCAGAAGGCTTCAAACATGTCTCCCAGGCGCCCCCGAACGGCCTCTCAACAGACCCCAAGAGGCCCCCCAAAGAAGCATCTTGACGACGACTCTATTTCGCCCCATCGAGAGACGACCCCCAGGGAACTGCTTCACCATCAAAACTCCCCACGCAACGCGTCCGAACGACACCCGCCCCCAAGAGCGCAACATGGGCAACGAACACACAGACAAAAACCAGCGATGCCATATCACGGGACGGCGGAATGAGCGAAGCGATTCAATAAGAGAAAGAACAACGGCGCGCGCGCGAAGCAGCCCGTTGACAACAACGACGGCGCGGCGGTGGACAAGGCACCTAGGACGGCTGCGGCGGAGGCTGCAGCGGTGGCCACGCAGGCCAGTTCGCCGGTGGAGCCCCGCCGAGCGGCCTCGTGTGCGCGACGGGCCGAGATCCCAACGGGACGCGTGAGATCACAACGGGTCGGGTGAGATCCAGAAGGTCTAGAAAACCAGAGCGGGTCAGATCCCACCAGTCGTAACAACGCATGCGTTTGACACTCTAAGTGAATAACCGTCGTGGTCGTTAGAACCATATTGTAGACCCTGAAAGGAGCTCTCACGGTCCTCATCGTGCGCCGATATCTAGATCATCAAACTGCCGCATGATGTTGGAATCGAATACTCCAACACGGCGGCCTCAAGACGCTCCGAGAGGCCTCAAGACGGCTCAAGAGGCCTCCAAGACGGCCCAACGAGGCCTTCCAGAAGGACCCGAAGAAGCCATATCAACAAACTTCAATTAGGATGTTAACCTCGAGCTCTGAAGGCGATTCAACCAAAGTCCCGGCGAGAGCGAGGGCCAGAATCAAATCAGACTTCGCACAAAAAACTGTGGTTCAGGGAACTGATGTAATACACCTGTAAATATGTATATATATACACCGTGTAAATTCGATTGATCTGTAACGGAAACCAACCAAATCTTGACCAACAAACGCTGGGTGCAGAATCTGGTCCAGTGGCACGGCATGCAATGCAACTGTACTGTAAGTAGAGCTGCTTGTGGGATCTGGCCCGTTTTCGCTTAGGGCCCAATTGAAGCCCAATTAAAGCAACAAACGTTACTGGCTCGTGGAATCCTGGAGCGCGTTTCTTTATGGTCGGCGATGACGGGCGTCATGGGGGGGGGCGGAAGGGGGGTATGACGTAACGCCGTGCGTCTCCGGCACCACAGCCGCGCCCGCGCGCGCGACGACGATGAGCGACGGCGGCAGTGCCCGGAGCGCACTGGGGAGGGGGAGCGTTACGTCATGGGGGAGGGGGGGGGCGGGGTTGCCATGACGCCCGTTATGCCCCAAGCAAAAAAGAAATGGGCTCCCGACGGATCCGATTGGAATCCTGACGCATCTAGGTCCAAGCGAATCCGCCCAAAACCGCCGAAAGGCGTCCTCAGGCGCCGAGTCGGCGACGACTGGGAGGCACCCGGGGAGCGCTCAGGAAGCACTTCGGACACATACGAGGCGATTAGGACGCCCCCCCCCTCCTCCTCCTCCTCCTCCTCCTCCTCCTCCTCCTCCTCCTCCTCCTCCTCCTCCTCCTCCTCCTCCTCCTCCTCCTCCTCCTCCTCCTCCTGGATGGCGCCCACGCCCACATGCGCCTAGTATGCGCCTGGGAAGCGCCTGGGCCTTTCAAGCGCGAGGCGCCCAGGAAACGCCCAGAGAAAGGCGCCCAGGAAACGCCCCGAAGGTGCCCAGGAAGCACCCAGAAGGAGCCCAGGAGGCGCCGATCAGGCGCCGAGAAAGCGCTTAGGAGACGCCCAGAAGGCGACTATACAGCGCCTGGGACGCGCCTGCAAGGCGCCTGGGACGCGCCCATACGGCGCGCAGGAGGTGCCCACAAAGCATAGTACGGCGCACGGGAGGGCCCTTTGTCAGGCGCCAGGGAGGCCCCTATAAAGCACCCAAGAAGCGCGGCGCTCGTAACCTCAAATCAACATCGTTGGGATCTCTCCCATCCCGGTGTTCGTGCCCGTTGGGGTCTCACCTATTCTGGTGGGATCTCGCTGTGATCACCCTTTGTCCACCCGTGCTCAGGATGGTGGGCAGCAGCGGCGGAGCCAGTGGCGCCTCCAGCCCACGTTCGAGGCCGCACGCGCGAGGACGCCACCCAGAGAGAGAGTAGTACGACGATGCCGCGGCCGCTGCAACGAAGCTGGCGGCGACTCGCTGCGGCGCGTGCGGGGCTTGAGGCAGGCTGACGATGTGACTGGGCCGCCCCGTGCCGTGCACGGGAGCCCTGCGGGGTATGCCTAGGGGAGGGGCCCCAGAGGCCAGGGAGCAGCGGCGCTGGCCAGCCTCTTCGGCTACGGCACCAACTTCGACCTCTTGACCTCAGGTCAGGCTCGCGGGGCGAGCAGCCAACTGCGGTGTCTCGGCGCCATCGCCTGGTCAGTCCACTCCGCTCCTACCCCTGCTCCTGCTCCTGCCTGCTCCTGCTCCTGCTCCTGCTCCTGCTCCTGTTCCGGCTCCTGCTCCTGCTCCTGCTCCTGTTCCTGCTCCTGCTCCTCCTCTCCTCCTCCTCCTCCTCCTCCTCCTCCTCCTCTCACTCGGACTCCTTCTCCTCCTCCTCCTCCTCCTCCTCCTCCTCCTCCTTCTTATCATCATCTTCTCCTCACCTTTTCCTCCTCCGGCACTCCATCTCCAACTCCACCGATTCGGCATGCGTCTGCGAACTCGGCGGTGGAGAGGACTACCGGCAGGACAGTCGAAATCCTTCGGCCGACATGCCGCCCAATTTGATTGTATTGCTGATGACTGGAGGCGAGAAGCAGAAGCAGAATCAGGTAACCGCGGGCGAACCACGTTCTAGGAGTAGTCGCAAAGGTTCAGAATCTGAGGATGCCTGCGGCGACGCCACTCCCTGCCGGGATAAGGGGGTGTCCCTGTGGCATTGTGCACCCGCAGGGGCAGGATTTGCACGTTGTCGCAAGAGGATGAGGAGGAGGAGCAGGAGGAGGAGGAGGAGAAGAAGAAGAAGACCCGAAGCCAGACGGGGTGTTATCGACAGAATTGCCTGAAGCAGCTTGCATTGCAACTCGAATAGGGGCCTCCCGAATGGGGTCCAGGTTGATTGAATCGGAGGATCGTGCCGCATCCTAAATGCGTCGCCGATGGATCGGCGAAGCACTGGCGATGTCGCCGATGAAAGGGCGCCCTTGGCCCAGAGAAACCTGGGCTCCGCATCGAGCCGCATCGTCGACGTATCAGGGATGCGGCGCGATCCCAGAACGCCCGCATGGCCTTATGGCGACCGGGACCGCGAGCGCCAGCATCAGCGCTGCAGCGATCAGCATCGAGCGGCCGCCGCTGGCTGGAAGCGCTGGCAGCGAACAGCCTTGACCTGCGCACGAGAGCGCTGAGACCGCACAGCGAGCAACAACCGTTGTCTGCCGTGCGCTCGCTCTCCGAAGTAGGGCCGTGCGTGAGCGATCATGAATCAGAACAGTTTGGCTGTCAATAGGAACAGAAAGATATTGAGCACATGATGGACTCCACAAACGAGAAGCCGACTGTCCACGAGCACGCGCAGGATAAAATGATGAGGAACACGAAACACGAATATGCAGAGATACGCAAGGCTCGCCATGGGAACGTCTGGTCGTCACGTCCAAACATATCGCGCGAAGTGGGGCAACAATGGCATACCGGTAGACGAACATTCTGGCATCCAGGGAGATAGAAAGATAGGAGGGAGCGCGACTCACTGTCGATGGCCCGAGAAATCCCATCAGCCCTCTGGGCGTAGGTGGTCAATCGATGTTGTTTCTTTCCTCTTCCAAAAACCCTCTTCCCCTTCGGGGACGGGTTTATCTCTGTTCCCTATTAATAAACACTTCCTCCCCCAGGCGACTGGGGGCCAACCAGGGACCATGACGACCCCCCCACACCATCCCTTGTTAAAAAACAATACAAAACACACTCTGCCTCCAAATTCGGAACATGCGCAGCCAACCCGATGCGGCCCCCCCACCATCCCTGTCAAAAAAACAATACAAAGTACACTTGGCGGCGGCGGCGGCTGCGGCGGCTGCGGCGGCGGTGGCGGCGGCTGCGGCGGCTGCGGCGGCGGCGGCGGCGGCGGGCGGCGGCGGCGGCGGCGGCGGCGGCGGCGGCGGGCGGCGGCGGCGGCGGCGGGCGGCGGCGGCGGCGGCGCGGCGGCGGCGGCGGCGGTGCGGCAGCGGCGCGGCGGCGGCGGCGGTTTGGCAGCGGGGGGCGGCGGCGGCGGCGGCGGCGGCGGCGGCGGCGGCGGGAAGGCGGCGGCGGCGGCGGCGGATTGGCCCCCAGTAGCTGCCCATCCAAAAGACGACTGCTGCATATGCTGAGGCTCGGGCCAGACTCGGGTGCTACGTATGTGTTGGGAGGGCGGGTGGGAGTGAGCGAGACGGCTTGCGGGCGGGGAGGGGGTCTTGACCCCTCCCCCTACCCCCTCCCCTGGACCTGGACGGGGCGCCCCGCGAGGTGGCAGAGGGTCCTTTTTCGGTCAAGATGGCTACAAGAGGGCCTCCGATGCACCAAGATGGCCTCCAAGATGGCTCGAGATAGGGCAATGGCTCAGGATAGCTAACAACATGCCTCCAAGAGGCCCCAAGAGGGCCACAAGACGGTTCCAAGTGCTCTCGGAGACCCCTCAGGACCACCCCCCAAAGCCCAACACCCTTCAAACACCTAAGGAACATCAATGATGTTAGCCTTCTCGCCGTTTCGCGTCCGACGCGCTTCTGAGGCCTCAAGTTGGCCCCAAGATTGCCCAAGAAGGCCCTAAGAGGGGCCCAAGAAGGCCCTAAGAGGGGCCCAAGAGGCCCCCTAGACGGCCCCAAGAGCGCCCAAGAGCGCTCCAAGAGGGCCCCAAGAGCGCCCCAAGAGACGGTTTTGAGGGCCCCAATGGGGGACCAACATAAAGGACCCCCCCTACTTTGATCGATGGCCTCCAAGATGGGCCCAAGAGGCTCTCCAGGACTCCCAAGAGGGCCCCAAGAGAGTCCCAAGAGTGTCCAAGAAGCGCCCCAAGGGGCGCCAAGATGCCCCAAAAGAGCCCCACGAGGACCCCACGACCGCTCAAAGAGCCTGAAGAGAGCTCCAAGATACCCCCAAATATCCCCCCAGAGGACCCTGGACCCCCCCAAACAGCTATTCCTCCTCCTCCTCCTCCTCCTCCTCCTCCTCCTCCTCCTCCTCCTCCTCCTCCTACTCCCCTCCTCCTCCTCCTCCTCCTCCTCCTCCTACTCTTCACCTCGCCCCCACGCGGCCCTCAGGGATGGCCCGAAGAGGCCTTCCAAGGCCACCCCCTTGCTCCCAGAGATCTCTCGGTTCACCATGGTTGCTCGCTTTGTTTCCCTAGATGTGCCTCTTCGTCCCTTTTCCCGTCAGCTCTCATGGGCAGGGCTTCTGAATGGGCTGGTGGGGATACTTTTTTTGGTCGGCGGCTCCGGGGCAAAGGTCAGGGAGCGGAAGCGGCGTCCGGGATGCGGCACGATGCGAATTTGCCTGGTGGGGATGCGCGACGCGTGAAGAATTGCCAGAAATGGGGCTCAGAAAACCAATGAACCCCTAGCCTGACCACCCCCCGCAACGAACCGGGGGGGGGTGGTCGGGACCCACCCCCCCTGCCAGGACAATTTTTCGGAGGGGTCCACAGACCCCCGCCCCCGGGAAAATGATTCGAAAGGTCGAAAAGGCTGACCCCCCCGGCAACGACGACGGCGTCGCCGCCGCCAGCAAACGACGGCGACGACGACGACGACGACGACGACGACGACGACGACGACGACGACGACGACGACGACGGCGACGGCGACGGCGACGGCGACGGCGACGGCGACGGCGACGGCGACGGCGACAACAACGGCTAAGACGACGCCGACGACGGCGACAACGTCAGGGGCGGCTGCGGCGGCGCACCTGTCGCCGGTGCCCACGCCAGGCGCTGGCGATGATGGAATGCAGCCAGGGCTCGATCCAGCTCTGATAGAATCTTATTCGGGGATGGACAGACCTCCCTTACGACCTGAGGCCCAAACCTGGCGGGCGCAAGCCTGGAAAATAACGGCCACGGCGCCATCTCGAGAACCGAAAACGGACAATTCACTAATCGACGTGTCACTGTTGGGGGTTCTGTCCACCCCCGACTTATGAGGGCTCGGTCATTCTCTACGGAATCCTGCTACAGGGGGATGGGTCCAGCTCTAGTGCGGTCAAAGTTGGGTTCGACGGTGCTCCAAAAGAACCCTACATGGGCTCAGTCCAGGTTTGTGCAAGTCTTAATAGGGCCAGATCCAGCATCCAGCTCTCACTCGCCGGCACAACGGGCCGGAGACGTGCTAAGATCTCTGACAACAGGTGTGGACAATTTCTAGTTCGCCCGCGTGGGCAGCCCCTGCGGGTCGCCGGATGCAAAGTACCCCGAGCGATCTCTGGCAGGGTCCCATCGGAGATGGTTTTACTCCTGGGCGGCGCCCTCAGGTCTCCCCAGAAAGCACCCATCAGGGCCAAGAGACCCCTAGAGGCCCCCAAGCAGGTCCAAGAGTGCTCCTAGACGCCACGAGACCGCTCCAAGACACACACGATGGCCCCCCAGACAGCCCAAGAGGCCTCCAAGACCCCTGAGAAGCCTCTCAGAGCCAAGAGGCAGACATTATCGATCTTCCTAAGATTTGAACGATTTCGACGTTCTCGCGTTTTTGGCTTTCCGACGCTCGAACATGGCCCCGGAGGCCTCCAATATCGCTCCAAGACGGCTCCTGGGGCCTCCACAGTGGCCTGAAGACGGCCCAAGAGGGCCCCGAGACAACCCAAGAGGCCTCCAAGACGGCCCACCCGCAGGGGACCCCCAAAGCGCCCCAAGAGACCCCCAGGGGGCTCCAAAGAGACCCTCAAGAGCGGCCCAGAGACCCCCAAGAGCGCCCAAAGAGGCCCCAGGACTGCGCAAGAGGGCCCTAAGACGGCCCAAGACAGCTCAAGATGGCTCCAAGATGGCCTGATAGAGTCCCGATAGAACCCTAAGACATGCCCAGACAGTCTAAGAAGACCCCAGTAGCCCCCAAGAGGACCCCGACAGGCCAAGAGGCCCTCAGAATGCCCCAAGATAGTCCCAGACGGCCTCTACAGCTCGCAAGGTAGCTTCAAAAGATCACCAGGACCCCTCCCTCCTCCTCCTCCTCCTCCTCCTCCTCCTCCTCCTCCTCCTCCTCCTCCTCCTCCTCCTCCTCCTCCTCCTCCTCCTCCTCCTCCTCCTCCGCTTCGTTCCTCCTCCTACTCGTCCTCTTCCATCTCTTCCTCGTCCTCGCGCCTGTCTTCCTCCCCCCTCACTGCCCTCCCCGTCATCCACGCTGCCATCCTCGACATCCGCCGCCCTGTCGTCGCCATCATATGTTTCTTCTTGTCCCCCCTGCGAGCCCACCGGACAAAGTCGGCGCTTCACGTTCTTGTCCGATCAGGTTTCTCAAAATCGCTCACGGAGAGCCTCCAAACGGCCCTAAAGCCCCCAGAGAGCGTCAAACCGGCCCCAAAGAGTCGCCGAAGGCCCCCCAGGGGACCCCCGAAGGGCCCCAGGAGACCCCGAAGAGGCCTCCCAGAGCCGCCCAGAGGCCTCCCAGGGGATTCCCAAACGACCCAAGAGACCCCCAAGAGGCTCCCAAGAGCCGCCCAGGGGCCCCCAAGGGCGCCCGAAGAGGTCCCGAGATTGCCCAACAGAGCCCCAAGACAGTCCAGGAGAGCACCAAGACACCTCAAGAGAGCCCCCACAGGTCCTCGAGACGCGCTGGGACAGCCCAAGAGAAGCCTCCAAGAGGCTCCCAAACTGGTCCCACAGGGGTTCCCTTCGAACGGGGGGGTCCCGCTTCGTTCCTCCTCGTACGTGTCCTCTTGCATCTCTTCCTCCTCGTCCTCGTGCCTGTCTGCCTACTCGTTGTCCTCATGCTCCCCTGACTGCCCTCCCCGTCATCCACGCTGTCATCCTCGTCATCCATCCACCGCCTTGTCGTCGCCATCATCCTTTTTTCCTCTGTTCCCCCCACGACCCTGAACGGACAGCATCGGCGCTTCCCGCTCTTGTTCGATGAGGTTGCGCCTAAGACCACGATAGTCACAAGCTCTGACTCCTTCTGGGGGTCGGCGGAATGGTGCAAGCCACTTGAAAAACTCATTTGACCGTGCAATCTATGCGGCGAGCAGAAACTCCACCCCTAGAAATAAAACACAAGCGAAGCAACTTGGTCGACGCACCCAGAGGAGGAATCGTACAGGGCAGGGCTGCCTGGTAAACGCCCAGGGCCGTTCAGTGAACGCCACTTATGGCGTCGTGGTGGTTCTTCCTCCCTTGACTCTGGCCTGCAAGCAATGAGGTATGATCTGCGTGGTTCCCAGAGCACGACGAGCCCGTGGGCAAGTTCCGGGCCGAAAACCAGAACACCCAACCAATGCACAAAAACGCCCGCGCGGCGCTCAGGGGCGGGCCGGGCCCATGGCGAAGGCCCTGAAAATCCAGCCCATCTTTGCCAGCGTGGACCCCAGACAGGGGATGCTCGAACTCTCGGTGAGTAGTGTTTGTGCTGCTACGTGATGCAATCGATGTGGTGCAGCAGACTACTCGAAACGGCAGGCGATCTAAGAGTTGGGGTGCAACCTATGTGCTGCAACCTGTGTGGTGCAGTCTATGCGATGCAAGCTATTTGCCCCAAACCATGTGATGCCATGTGTAGTGCAACCGATGGCATGCAGTCTATGGGTTGTGAACCACTCTGCAGAACTTGAAGTAGTCATCTCCACTGCTCGCGGCTCGCGCAAACATCCCACCCACCCACCCGCAACTTGGTTTGCAAAACCTCTTAAGACCGACTACGACGACACCGACGACAACGACTACGACGACACCGACGACGTCTCCGACGACTTCGACGACGACAACGACGCCGACGCCGACGACGACGAAGACGACGACGAAGACGACGACGACGACGCCAACGAAGGCGACGACGAGGGAGGAGGAAGGACGACGACGGCGACAACGACGACAACGACGACAACGACGAGGGAGGAGGGAGGACGGCGACGACGCGAACGACGAAGAAGGAGGAAGGACGGCGACGCCGACGACAACGACGAGGGAGGAGGGAAGACGACGACGACAACGACGACGACGACGACAGCGACGAAATAGGAGGGACGACGACGAGACGCCGACGACGGACGACGACGACGACGAGGGAGGAGGAGGAAGGACGACCACGGCGACAACGACGACGGAAACGACCACGACGCCAAAGAGGACGACGACGACGACGACGACGACGAGGGACGAACGCGCGCGCACGCTTTTGTTGAAGAGCCGTGTTGCGAAACCTTGGTTTTTCGTATGTTTTTTGGACACACGATTTTGAAATCCTTCCGAAACCGATGGGTTATGAAGGTTTTCGGCATACGCCCGCGACGACGCGCGCGTCTGCACTTCGTCTCATTGTTTGCAGAGGGTTCTCGCGACGGCACACGCGCAAGGGCGTTCGACAGATTTCGACATGCGCGCGCGCGACGCCCGTTTGGTAGCATGTTGTGAAAATCTTGAAAAACCTATGGTTTCTTAAGATTTCGCAAGAGCTCCCGCGGAAGCTTTTTAGCAAATCAGTGTTGCGAAACCCAGTGTTTTTGCATGTGTTTTTGAAACTCGATTGCGAAATCTTTCCGGCACCGATGATTTTTGAAGGATTTCGGCATGCGCGCGAGAAGACGCGCTCGTGTGCACTTTGTTCATTTTTTACAAGGATTCGTGAAACAGTGCTATGTTAGAACAAAAAATGTCACCGCATAGTGTTTTTTTACAAGAGACCCTCAGGGGGGATACCGGTTGGCACTTGACAATGTGATTTCATATTTAGGATGGACATGTGATCATAATCATATATGATTTACATACCCAAAAGGGGGACCGATAACGCCGGGGGGGTAGAGTCTGTTCTGTTTTTAGAAAAAGGGGAATCTACGAATTGCAGTTTAATGGTGCAATCTATGTGCACATGGGGCCGCCTGCCACCGCCCGAGGCGACAACGGGCGTGCGCTGGGCGAAAGCTCGGGGAGACCCCTACCATTGATTACGCGAGGCCCAACCGCGGCATATCTCTCTCAGCCGGGGACGTCATACACGCGATGTTCACACTCGCTGCAGTTGGTGAACTGCACCCCTCTGCGCCGCCGACGCCCCTCAATTTGCCCCAACGCGTGCCGCTGGTCACGACCGTGTGTGAACGAGGGGGGAGGGACCCTTGATCTTGCTCCGATGGCCACGCCCCGAGAAGCAGGGACCTTCAATCAGAGTCAAACTGGAAACCTCATCCATCCCTGGGGTGCAGAGCGCGCGAGGGACGGCTCCGGAGGCGCCGCCAGGGGCTTCCAGCGCAGATCCAAGGAATCTGCGCGGAGCTCCGAAAGTTTGTGTGCATGCAGACTTGTCTTCGACGAAAACCGCTCTTCGGGGGCAGCCCCCTCGAGAGCCTCGACAAGACACAGAGGACCTCTTTCGTGTGGAGCCCTCAGGAAGCCTGCCTTCAGCACGGGCCTTGCCGGGCGGGCACACCCTGGCGAGAAGCTGAGCAGTAGGCACCGCATCAATGACGAACGAACAACACTCACCCACACCCATACCCAGAGGGGGGTCCTTGGGAGGAGGACTGGCTATGGGTATGGGTATGGGTGCGGGTTGTCGGACCCTGGGGAACGCTCCCGCTCGAGCGAGGACCCCCATCCGACAACACGCACCCATAGCCCTCTCCGACCCCCCTGTGGGTATGGGTGTGTGTTGCTGGTTCGCCGCGTCAAGTCGAGAGGGAGAGGGAGGGGACAGGGCCGGGCGAGCAGGGGGGGGGGAGGAAGAGGAAGCCCAACCTCCCGCCGGCCCCCGTCCCCCGGCAACGGCGCGGCGCGACCCGCTGCCAGACGCCCCGCTCCGGGGAACTGCCAGAGGCCGCCAGGGGGGCGGGGGCGCGGAGGGGAAGGCCGGGAGTAGCTAAGAGCGCCCCTGGTCCGGGGTGCCTCCGGCCCTGTCGCTCCATCCTGGAGGCCCCGGGCGGGGCCCTCGGGGCCCCGCGGGGGGGGGGCCCAGAGGCCCGCGGGGGAGATCCTGGGGCCACCTCGGACCAGGGGCCCCACTCTGTGGGCGCCCGAGATGGCTGCGAGGAGCGTGGGCACGATATGCCCAACAACAACTGCTGTGCAAGACCGACAGCAGCCGCTGTCAGCCAGGCGGCCTTCCGTGCCAATTGGACAACGACCGCGGCGACGCCGACAACGAGCCCTGGCCAGAATGCACGAGACCTGCTGTTAGACTTTGCACCCGCTCTCTTCGCACCCACTTCGATCGCCCCGATACTCCGGCAACGCCCGAGTTAGGGGGGAAGGCCTCGGCTTCTGCGAGGCCCTCGCCCTCCCCTGCGGCTCTGCGAGGCACCCACCGCCCCGGCTCCTGCGGGGCGGCCCCCGGCTTCTGCGGGGCTCCTCTCCTCTGCCGCCCCTGCTCGAGCCAGCGTGCTGCGGCGCACCGCCCACATGCAGACCGCGCGCGGAGCGGTGGCAGGCGCGCGCAGCGCCAGTCCCCTCGCCTCACCCAGACTGGCACAACGCATCGAGATCATACCCCGTCCCTGTTGGCCAAAGGCAGTGATTGTTCCCCCCTCCTCGGGGATGTTGAGGAGAAGAAGGAAGAGACGGAGACACGTCAGTCCGCCAACTTCGGCAGGGGGGGGGAGGAAGCCAGGGCCGCCGACGGTAGTGCTGGCGAGCGAGGAGCCCGGTGAGTCTCGCACACTAGGGATATGGGCGGTGGTGATGACGATGACCGTCAAGACCACAGTCTGAAGAAGACAATTACTGGATGAGGCGGAGGAGGCCGACGACAGAGGGGTAACATGATGGGGTAGTTGGGGGTAACGTCAATCACCCACTACCGCCTGACCAGGTTCGGTCCATCCTGAGCAAGAGAGTTAAGAAATGTCACGCTGTTTGGACGACGCCATGACGGCAGGTGAGGTATCCTCATACTCGACTTCCTCCTCCTGGGACTGGCCCAACCTATCTAATCAGATTGGTGCTTCTGTGAGAAAACACATAACTGGGGGGGCGACGACGACGATCGCAGGATAGAAGCAGCATCGCGCAAGATCATCTGCACAACAACATTGGAGATGCCCCCAAACATTGCGAACACTTCGTAATAATAACGCCGGCGGTCCAGCATTCCCGCTGCTGCCCGAAAGGAGCGCTGCCAGAAAGAAAGGTACCTCCTCGGGGGACGCGCCACCTCTGCCAATCATGGCCTCCCTGTCCTCCGAGCGGCGTCGAAAGGCTGCCCCGCCCCCCGAACCCAACCCGCCGCTCATGTCCGTGTCTCCGTTCTCCTGGAGCGCATTTTTTTGTTCGCGGCCATACTTGACGTTATGGGGGGGGGAGGGGGGCGGACGGGAGGAAGCACAACGCAGCGCCCGCCCCCCAGACTGTGGTGCCGCACGCACTGCGGCAGCGCCAGGGACGCACTGAGGGGAGGAGCACATGGCGACGCGCGTCATGGCACCGATCTTTGCCCCCCCCCCCCCCCCCCCCAAAAAAAAACGTCATGTTCTTTAGTTGATATATATATATATATATATATATATATATATTGTGAAGAAACTCCCGTTCTCCCGCGCCCCCCCGCCCCCCGCCCCGCTCCCCCCGCCCAAACCCTCCCCCCCCCGCACCCTCCCCCCCACCCCCCGCGCATCCGCTCCCCGTCCCCCTTTCCCGCCCCCCCCCCCCCCCCCGCCACCCCTTCGCCCCCTCTCCCCCCCCCGCATCCTCCCCCCCGCGCCTCCGCCCCCCGCCCGCCCCAGCCGCCCCCCACCACATCCGGCCCTCCCCCCCCCCGCACTTCCTCCCCTCCGCCCCTCCCCTCCGCTCCCCCCGCAGCGCCTCTGCCCCCCGTCTGTCCTCCCCTCCCCCCCCCCGCCGCCACGCCCCCCCCCTCGCTCGAGAAACGGAGACGCAGGACGGAGCTGCTGAAATCACCCGTCGTCCGAGGCAAACCGCCGGGGCGCGCGCGGCGTCCTGGACCTCGCCCGCCCGCGCGCCTCCCGCACGTGGTTCCTGGTGGTTCCTCCCCCTCTCCTGCCTCCTCCTGTGTTCCTCCCCCGCCTCCTCCCCCTCCTCCTCCTTCTCCCCCCCTTCCTCCTCCTCCTCCTGCTCCTCCTCCTCCTCCTCCTCCTCCTCCCTGCCTCCACCTCCTCCTCCTCCGCCGCCTCCGCCTCCGCTCCGCCTCCGCCTCCTCCTCCGCCTCCTCCTCCTCCTCCGCCTCCGCCTCCGCCTCCTCCTCCGCCTCCTCCTCCTCCTCAACCTCCTCCTCCTCCGCCGCCTCCTCCCTTTCTTCCTCCTCCATTCCTTTTGTATGTGAACAACTTTTCCCTGTCGCACCCCGAGGCCAGAGTTTAGGGCGGGCCGGGCGTTTCACCTGAGACTTCCTCACCACTTCTGAAGCTGAAGCACTGGCAACAGGTTCACAGATGGAGGGCGGGTCGTCTTCAAAATGTGGCTCTCGCCTTAGCGCCGCGCACATTCGTTCTAAACATTGCAAGAACTTCACGGAATGAGGATCACCCGTTTAAAAAATGTGGCTCCCGCCTTGGCGCCACGCACATTCGACCTAACATTGAAAGAGCTTCACGGATTGAGGGCGGCTCCTTTTCAACATGTGGCTCCCGCCTTAGCGCCGCGCACATTCTTTCATAAACTTTGCAAGAGTTTCACAAATTCCCACGATCAACGTACCAGAAATTGTTTGTGAGAAATGTATGGTTTTGCTGGTGCAACAGTCACGTTGGTTGACGGTGTTGAAATCCCATGAATGGCTTTCTAGCACGATCCAATATTGTCAAACACACAACAGTCAGGTTGATCCGTGGCGTTGGAATCCCGAAGCCAATGTTTTGGCATGCTTCCGGGTCTTCAAACGGTTGTCCTCCAACGAACAGATCCCTCAATGAAAATGAACCGTTGCAGGGGCCTATGGGAGGGGGTATTCCAACATCGTTGATGGCTCTTGGGTTTGCACTGCTCCTTCTCCTCCTCCTCCTCGTCCTCGTCCTCCTCCTCCTTCTGCTCCTCCTCCTCCTCCTCCTCCTCCTACTCCCCTTCCTCCTCCCCCCTCCTCCTCCCCCTCCCTTCCCCTCCCCCTCCTCCTCCTCCTCCTCCTCCTCCTCCTCCTCCTCCCTCCTCCTCCTCCTCCTCCTCCTCCTCCTCTCCTCCTCCTCCCCCCTCCTCCTCCGCCTCCTCCTCCCTCCACCTCCCCCTCCCCCTCCTGCCTCCTCCTCCTCCCTCCTCATGCTCCCCCTCCCCCTCCTCTCCTCCCTCCTCCTCCCCCCTCCCCCCTCCTCCCCCCCCCTCCTCCCCTCCTCCTCCTCCTCCTCCTCCTCCTCCTCCTCCTCCTCCTCCTCCTCCTCCTCCCCCTCCTCCTCCTTCTCCCCCTCCTCCTTCTCCTCCTCCTCCTGCTCCTGCCTGACCGCACGCATCATGGGAGACATCCGCCTTGGGAGGGGCACTCGCTCGCTGCTCGGCTTCGAGGCCACTGGTCCAAGGTGTGCAATAGAGGGCACTGGCACATGATGCTGCACTGCGCCTGGCGCGGGGGCACTGCCGGAGAAGTGCGTATGGTCGTTCCTCACCCCCTGGGAGCCCTAATCACTTATGTTCCTCATGTTGCTTCAAGGTGTTCCGCCTTCCACGATCTTCTGTCGAAGCTCGGCCCATTTGCTGTCTCCGGAAGCCCCGAAACATCAACTGTGAGCCCGAAGAGGGCCCCTGAACGGCCCAAAGAGAGCCTCAAGCTGGTCCAAGAGGACCTCCGAAGGGACCCAAGACGGCCTAAGACGACTCCACGACGGCCCCAAAAGGCCCCCCAAACGGCCAAGAGGGCCCCAGACCGCCCAAGAGAGCCCGGAGACGGCCCAAGAGGGCCACAAGACGGCCCAAGAGGGGGCAAGAAAGAGCCCAAAGACTGCCCCCCGCAGGAGCCCAAGACATCCCCCATCGGCCGAACAAGCCGAGACGAGGTGATACACGTGACGGCCTCGCAGGTGGTACTCGAAGGTTCGGCACACAGGGTGGTTCGCTGGCACGGTGGCGGATTTGCCACAGGCATCTGAATCAATGCATCGCTACGCGCGTGCACGCTCGAAGCTGGAAAGCTGACATGGATGTTGATTTTCGCATACGTTCGGTCTTCGACCTGTTTCGGCTCCACGCTCGGTGGCGAAAAATGTGCGATGCCCCTGAGACAAGGACCGTCCGACGAAAATACCAACTCGAAACTTGCGACGGCAAGGCAGCGATCCAGGCACCGTGCACAAGGGGGCCGTGCCCCGAGCAGGCGTGCCAACCGACAGGCCACGGCCGCGGCTCACAGCTCGAGCTCCGCAGAGCAGCCCCGTGCCTGCCTGGGAACAGCGTGCCGAGGTCATCCGGCAAGACCTCAAGGAAGACCAGGGCACTGCTGACTCTCCAGATGCCTGACAGCATCACGGGGCTCGAGGGCCGATGTGTCTCTCGACTGCGGCCACACTCATCGTGGCGATCGTGTGAGGAGACGGACGTGTTCCAGTCGCGCGGTCGGATGCAAGCTGCCGCGTGCCCTGGTGCACTTGGCGCATCTGACGCGCTCGGCGCACGGGGGGGCATCTGGCCCGCTAGGCCCTGAGCGCCCTTGGCCGCGCGGGCTGTGCCAGAGCACATGCCGCCATGGCGCGACAAGCGTGCGCGGCGAACCTGGCAGACTTCGAGCACTTGGGGCACTCGGTGCGTCCAGAGAGCATCCGGAGCACATAGAGCCCGTGGCGCACGTAAGGCCCGCGGCGCACCAAGCATCCAAAGCCATTGTACGGTAACTCCTGCCTGTGCTAAGCCTCGGATGCTGCGTGTGCGTGTGTGTGTGTGTGTGTGTGTGTGCGTGTGTGCGTGTGTGCGTGTGTGCGTGTGTGCGCGCGT